CCCCCCCCCCCCCCCAAGGTCCTGTCTGCCAATCAGGGAACAGTCGTGGGGAACATTTTCCCCAGGGCTGGAACCCTTCCTAACCTATTTAGAGTCCTAGAAAATTAGGGTTGGAAGGGACCTCAGGAAGTCATCTAGTCCAACCCCCTGCTCAAAGCAGGACCCCATCTCCAACTAGATAATCTCAGCCAAGGCTCTGTCCAGCTGGGTCTTAAAAACATCCAAGGATGGAGATTGCACCACCTCTCTGGGTAACCTGTTCCAGTGTTTTACTACCCTCCTAGTGAGAAAATTCTTCCTAATACCTAACCACATCCTGGCCAATGTGGAGGAGATCACCTTCTACCGTGGCCAGAAGGTAGGGTGGCCTTTCATCAGCCCCTGCTGCTGGTGCTACTGCAGCGTGGGCGAATAGGATCTGCTGGCCATCAGCTCCCACTCTCCACCCCAGTGGCTTGAATTCCTCTGACACCGAAGCCTGTTTACAGCTCACTCTGGCTTTGGAAAAAAAACAGTACCCAGCACTGCAACAGCTTTTCAGGATCCCCTCTGGTCCTATTCCTGGCTCTGAGCTGCACCACAGCTCTTTCATCCTCCCTAAGAGGCTTCTCCAAACGGAGCTTCTCCTAATGCCTTCTGTTTTTAACCCTGGCAGGCTCTTCTCATTCATTTTTTTTCATTTCATAGAATCACAGCAAATGAGGGTTGGAAGGGACCTCAGGAGGTCATTTAGTCCAACCCCGTGCTCAAAGCTGGTGCATCCCCGACTAGATCATCCCAGCCAAAGCTTTGTCTAACCGGGTCTTAAAACCCCCAAGGATGGAGCTTGCACCACCTTTCTGGATAACCTGTTCCAGTGTTTTACTACCCTCCTAGTGAGAAAATTCTTCCTAATGTCTAACCTAAACTTCCCTTGCTGTAACTTGAGACTGTTGCTCCTTGTTCTGTTATTTGCTACCACTGACAGCAGTGTAGCTCCATCCTCTTTCGAACCTCCCTTCAGGTAGTTGAAGACTGCTGCTAGATCCCCTTTCAGTGTCCTCTTCTCTAGGCTAAATAAGCCCAGTTCCCTCAGCCTCTCCTCATTTTTGTTGCCCTCCCCTGGACTCTCTCCAATTTGTCCACATCCTTTCTGTAGTGGGGGGCCAAAACTGAACACAATTTATGGAAGTTGCTGTTGCTAACTGCTTCTTGACAGCTTGCCCCCCTGTTGGAAAGGGTAGGCTATCAATCAATGGGCTCTCCTTCCTAAGGATGGGCATTGTAGTGTCTCTTGGTTGGAGAGCTCGCCTGTGTAGCTCTCCAGCTCTCAAACTATTTTTCTAGTGCTAGAAATTTGTATGAAACCCTGTCCATGTCCTCTGTCTGCTGCAGGTTGTCTACCTTGGAACTGGACTCATTTGAACCCTCTAAACATAGTCTTACAAGGACAAAGAATGGTCTTTCTAGCTTGCTCCACAGCTGTCTGGTCCAACCTCTTCAGAGGATTTTGGTAAAGGAAATTGTTGAGGGCAAAGAGTGTCAGTCATTTCACAAAGCTTAGAGGTAGATCTCTTCCTCAGTCTTTATTCACAGAATGAAGACTAGATCACTCTTTGTCTCTTATGTTAAGAAGATCCTGTGGCCCAGCTGGAGTAGGGGAGCACAGTACTTACTAATAGTACCAATATCCAAAGCTATTTATAGCAAATATAGTTTCATAGTTGGTAGGGTCGGAAGGGACCTGAGCAGATCATCAAGTCTGACCCCCTGCCATGGCAGGAAAGAGTACTAGGATCAAATGACCCCAGCAAAGGTGTTCATCTAGCCTCTTCTTAAAGACCCCCAGGGTAGGAGCCAGCACCACTTCTCTTGGAAGTTGGTTCCAGATCCTAGCCGCCCTGACCGTGAAGTAGCGCCTCCTGATGTCTAGTCTGAATCTACCCTCTGCCAGCTTGTGACC